GGGATTTAATCTAAATTTCATCACCTGAAGAATGAAATATTCATCTTTCAACAAACAATATTCACTTAACCAGAGCATCATAGCTTTCATACTTTCACTTATATATATCTAACTACATATCTAAAAAATATCGTAAGGGTGGGTAAGTATTGCGATCGAAAAGATTTTCGAATCTGAGTTTTCAACGGAAATATACGGTACAAATACCCTGACTTTAAGTAACCATCTCTCGAAAAATGGCGTGTGTGTGAGAATAGCCGAGCTCAAAAACGAAAAGTTGTAGAAAACTGAAATTGCATTTTTATTTATTTATTGAGTATTACAACAATCTGTCACATGGACACTAGTTGTAGTGAGGTAGGATAACATTCACACTATATGTACAAAAAATATAAAATAAATAGAAGCAAAATAATAATCAACAGTTATATACAATAAATAAAATAAAATAAATGTAATAAATAGAGCTTAAATGTAATATTCAATATATGTATATATATATATATATATATATTTTAGAAGTGTTTAATTGAGTCGAAAATGAATCTCCGGAAATAATAGTCAGAAGGTATACATATAATATATCGTTGGAAAGCGGAGAATATTAAAAAAAAAAAAACAATATCTAATACAGAAAGCTGTAGAAGGTAATGGAGAGTGACGAAAAATTATAAATAATAATTTTTGAAAACTAATATTATTTATTATAATACAGTTGTAAATATCATCAATAAAAAAAAATATATTATTTATCGGAAATCACATGTTTTCAAGGAAATTAAATTATATTTTCCAACTAAATATAAACTTTTAAAATTAATTTTAAGTTTAAAAAAAAAAAAAGTATTTAAAATCCACCAAATCAAGGCAATGACATTGTTTAAAAAATTATTTCATTGTACTTGTGTGGAAGAAGAAGTGAAATATAAAAATATTTCATGGATGTTTAAAACATATTTTTATAATCTTAAATAGATAGAAAATAACTTTATTTTGGGACGCAGTCCCTTGAGAATAACAAAATAGAACAAAATTAAAAGATTACATCTGGCCAAAATAAAATCAATGGAAAAAAAGAAATAATGTAAAGAAAATATAAGGTAAACATTCTATATACAAAACAATTAACACTGTGACAAGATACTTAAAGCTATTTGCGCTGATATACCAGTATACACTTTTAAGAAAACAATAAAGAATTAAAAATAAAAATATATTAAATTCTTTACTAAAACAAGCTTTATGTTTCTGTTGATAAAACATAAAGTTGAATCTGACAATATTAAGTGCCTACTTAATATATAAATACATTATCATTTAGCATTGATATTTGACAATGAATTGCATGAAATAAATGTATGTTGTCGAATGGTAAGCAAATACCCGACTGTTTTTGGGACAGGATTTTGAATAGGAGGGTTTTGAATATAAATATGGATTGGGAATGTCGCATTTTGATAGGGAGGGAATTCCAGAAATTGACAGAGCGAGCAATAAAGGAGTTTTTGGAATGAAGCAGATCTGTGAGAAGGCATGTAAAGGTTAGAAGGTCGAGATCTTGAGGACAGGGAATGGACTGAGGATTTGAACTGGAGAAGGTTGTAGGCTTAAGAAGAACGATGGTTGTTGATCATTTGGTAGAGGAATGTACCTAGGAAATATTGTCTTCGGAAGGAGAGGAAAAGCCACTTTAACTCAGCGTAGTGATGAGAGACTTGGGACCCCGATCACAAATCTTACGCAGCTGTTCATTAGTCTTTTCAGTCTATCGCGGAGCCCCACAGAGAGCAGACACAGCTATAGTCAAAGTGGGGGGAAAATGAGAGAGAAAACTAGGAATCTACGCGTATGTTGAGGTAGGAGATGGCGGAAGCGATGGAATAGTTTGAGGGTGGAAATTGTCCGTCGAGTGATATGAGAAATATGGTGATTCCAAAAGAGGTTTTGATCAATGAAAAATCCTAAATTTTTAACAGAGGAGTAGAAGGAGATTGGCTGGTCATTAAGGTGTAGGATGGGAAAGTCTGTATGGGATCTAAGAAGGGGCTTGGAAGCAATAACAACGGCCTGAGTTTTGACAGCATTTAACCTTAATCCATTTACATTTGCCCAGGCACTGATTCGATCTAGGTCTTCTTGGATCTTGGCAAATGCTCCCAATAACTTAGGAGGGGAAAGTTATAGGTACATCTGAGAATCGTTTGCATAAAGGTGGTGGGAACAATGGGGAGTTGATTTATGTAGGTCGTTAATATAGGAGCTGAAAAGGAGAGGCGATATGTTTGAACCCTGGGCAACTCCAGAGGATAAAGAAAGGAAAGCAGATAGTGGTTGATTGGGTATAGAGACTGCTTGGGTACGTTGTGAAAAGAATGATTGAAACCAAGAAATGGAACTATTGGAGAAGGATAATAATTTCAGTTTGTTGAAAAGGATGGAATGGTTAATTGAATCGAAGGCTTTGAAGAAGTCGAGAAGGATAAGGATAGTTAACTTTTCATCATCCATTGCAGTTTGAATGTCGCTGGTGATTTTAATTAAGACGGATTGTGTGGAGTAGCTGGGACGGAAACCAGTTTTTTGTTTTGTTTTGTAGGTAATTTAGTAATTTTTCTAATTATCATGGGTACAATCAACAAAAAAAAAAAAAAAAATGCGTACTTTTTTTAGCTATTCGCAAATATGTTTCCTTCTCCTTCATAACTTTTTTTCCAGAAATTTTGGGGGGGTTGGAGAAGGATTTTTTCACATGTGAAGGTGAAGTATATCTTCAAAATGTCAATCATAGGATTTGATGAGAAATTGACGAAGTTATGGCAACAATGGTACCAACAAAAAAAAAAACAAATTTTAGAAATAAAATATTAGGTAGGGAGTGGCGAGAGGAAAAAAACAGTATTATAATTTTTGATTAGTAAATCATTATATTTAAGAAAATTTATCACAGATTTTATTTTAATTTTGTCATTATTTAAGCCCACTGATAATTTTGGTACGAGTCCCAATTTGGATGGAATCAATATGTAATAGGGATACTCCTGGATGTAGCTGTGAGAGTAGAGTAGCAATGTTACCAATTAGGTACATGCTGATTTCTTATCAAATAGGAATGTGTTAGGTTTGCATGTCCTATCCTTAGCCTAGTTAAGGCAACTTCCTCTCTACGAATAGGGTGCTTCGAGGTATACGATGGTTTCAATGATCTTTTCATTTCCTTCAATTTGCTCGATGGGCTCTCATTCCACATGGATTGCCAGTAAGAGCTATTTCTTTTTGTATAGGGATGATTGTGTAATATGGTGTTAATATGGCAGCGACCCGTCCTGGGAAGGATAATTAGGACTGGTTGTATATTTATCGATGAATCGAAATTTACTCTTCATCGTCATTATAGATGTTTTAAAGTGCGGAAAGACAAAAAAACAGCGATTTAATTCAGGCACCACTGAACTAGTACAGTATTGTGGAGAAGGTTCAGCTTTAGAGGAGGATAAGTAACATATAGGATGAAGTTCAGTTTATTTTTTCTTTTATTTGGGTTTTTCTACAACTTAAGGAGTCATATTCCCAACACACAAAAGCCACTGCTCCCTGTCCATCCAATCCCCTTCACGGAGCCCTCTGGCTGCCATGTTTTCCTCGACTTTCTCTATCCATTTCTTCTTTGGCCTTCCACGCTTCCTTCTTTCAGGTGGCAAATAGTTATAAATTTTCTTTGGCCAACGGTTCTCATCCATCCGCATTAAGTGGCCATACCACTTTAACCGTTTGGTCCCGATCAGGTGAAGGATGTTCTTTTGACATCCGACCTTGTCTCTAATAGCTGCGTTTGGAATCCGCTTGATTCTCGATATGCCACAGCTTCTTCTCCAGAAATCCATTTTCATGTAAAGCAACCTATTTTCCGCCTTTTTTGTAATTGTCCATGCTTCTGATGCATAGGTTTCTACAAAGGAATGGTAGATCTTCTTTTTAGTTTCCAATCTTATTTCTTTACTCCATACGGTTGAATTTATCGAATTTATTATTATTTTCCCATTGTTTATTTTATGTTCGATGTAAACCTCACTACCTCACTTTGAAGATAGTCAATATCCGTGGTACTTGAACTGTTGGCTGACATTGAGTGTCCAGTCATTAATTTCAAGGGACAAATTTGGAGCTTTGAAAACCACGTACTCTGTTTTACTTTTACTGATTATCACACCCCATCTGGAATACGTGTCCAGCAACTTCCTCATCATATAGCTCACATCATCCGGATCCGATGCAATTATCATTTGATCATCGCCATACTGCAAATTTATTGCATGTATTAAACTCTAGACTAAGCTATTTCTTTAGGTATAGTCCTTTATTCACTTAGCTCTTTCCGTGCATTGAATACTGTTACATGTTCCACTCATCTTCGCCCCCTCTCTCAATATTCTTTATGTACCGGTAATATATCGATTATAAATAAAAACATAAAATATAAAATAAGATAATAAACGGCAGGAGACATATTAAATGACAAATTGTTTGTAAACTCTTGTCTTTAAATCGATATCTTATAACCCTTGAAAGGTCTTCATTTTAGTACTTTGTAAGGGAGTAGTGTTTTCAGATTAAAGGTTGTTCTCGATGGTGATTACTCCGAACTTTCGGATTTTATCTTCAATTTAGGATTCTCACTTTAAAGAAGCAAAGTGAGTCCCAGCTGGATCTTCCAACTCCAGGATCAATTAACGGCTGATGAAACAGGACAAATATTTACTTTCCACAGCCAGACTGGAATCGAGGACCGGGAGCATTAACCTCACTGAGCTATCAAGCTAATAGACAAAATCAAATAGTAATAAATGAAGTACAAATCAATTGTACTAGGATCAACTAATGCAACTGGAAGACAGTACCGACATCAGCAATGACTTATGAATAAGGAAAATCTTTATTGTACAAAGTTATCGTTAGACCGGATAATACCAAGAATTTAGGCCGAAACGTCATATTTCTCTTACCTTCTCCACATTTTATCCAGGCGTTAACTTTACATGGTGTTTGAAAAGTCATAAGTGCGTTCCACCTCTTATGCAAAGCGCAAACAAAGGCAGGTTCGCCTGGACAGATCTGCTCATTTACGCATTTCTGGAAGTTTTCTGGTAAAAATAAGTCTATCGCTACGACTGATAAACCTAAGGAACCTGTAAATATATCGAATTATGAAAAATTATTAAATTGAAATAAATTAGAATTATTAAAAACTAGTAAGGTAAGCGCACCAGTGATCGACAAAGCTAAGGAATTTGTTGTATTTTTTGGCCTATGCCGCAATAATTATTATAGTTATAAACTTCTCCGTTGGACATTTAGAATCTCTAGGGTCCCCTTTTTCTATTTGAAACTTTAAAATTGAAAAAATATTCAGTTATGCAGGTGCAATCTCCATTTAGAACCGCTGGTTTATTATTATTTAGCTGGTCGCTTTATTTCACAATGGTTTATTATTTCCAATAATATAAACCTGAACTAACATTACTTTACTAGTGACAAAAGAAAAAAGAAATAAAAGGTGATTCCAATTATTGGACTGAACTTTTTTTTTAATTGAATATTTAATAGTTGACCTCTTTTGCATTATAAAGGAAGGAGATGGTCCTGGGTGGCGGTCATAAATAGGCTAAATAGTGGTAAAAATATTTTATTGAAAGCCGACGTTTCGACCCGACTTTGCAGGTCTTCTTCAAGATAAAAAAAGACACAAGATACAAAAAGATAGAGAAATCAAATTTACCAAATAATAATAATAATAATAAATTTATTTCTTGAACAATTTTACAAATGCCTTTTGGCATATTTTGTAAATGTGATGTTTTTTAGGAAATCTCCTCCTCATTGCGTGATTGGAGAAACCTCCCAGTGAAGGCACTCCTAACGTTACTCTTCTTAATGCAGCAGGTCCCTGCTCCAGAGGCGTTTGAGTCTCCTTCGTGGATTCTGTGGTAGTGTGTCCGTTAGTAATGTTTGTAAGTGGATTAGGATGTTCAGCTAAAGGGTCAACAAGGCGAGATTAATAATATGAAATATAAATTATAAATAATAGCTCAATATAAAGATGATGAAATGCTGAACCTTTCTCTCACTTACAGTATGCAGGTCCGATTTTTAATTTTTGTATTAATTGTAGATATTATTTTTAAGTCAGTGGAACAGGAAACAGCCGATTGGGAAAAAAAACAAAAGACAGTGGAGTTGAGAGATGGCGGATCTCGCGAGTGTAGAGGCACGCTAAGGATTTTTAGTTGTGAAATATTTTAGTTTTATTGTGTACACCGGATTTTCATTGCTTCTCCAAGAACCTGTTATCATCAGCGACGAGTGCCGCTTGATCTTACAAGTTGGTGAATGAACATTTTCACAACTTGAGAAGATCAATTGTGGAGACATTGAAGAAGCTAGTTCGAATAAGATACCGATTCCTCAGATAATTCAATGACCTGCTGAGCTGTCCCTCCCTGCTCAATATTAAAAATTAAGGCCACTGGCCACAAGTGTATAAAGTGCCTTCAGCACACTTAGCCAAATTACACCTTAAAATACCTTCGGGTAAAAAAAGGTAGGCATATTCTGAGTATATGTATACCTCTGTGTATATATATACAGTAAATTGTATAGTTTTCTTATGGAGGGTAAGAAAAAAAAAGAAAAAAAAAAAAAATTCAATGTGCCAATTGGACAAAGTTCGGCATTGAGATTTTGTAAATATGTATATATAAGTTTTTATTTCTTTTATCTATTTTTATTTCCAAATGTTTGTATCCAAATTTTATAATCTTTTCTTTGATAATTAAAGTTAATTTTCTTTTCTTTGTTTTCTTATAAATCTAATTTCTTGTTCATAATTTTCATTTCCTTTAATAGTTATTTAAATTAATAGAAATAAGTAAATCCATCATTAGTATTAATAATAGCCAGTTTTATTTTCTTCTATTTGTTTTCATGTTTTATGTATATATTATATTTTTTTTTTTTTTTTTTTTTGTAAGGTTTAATAAGGCATTTTAAAACCCTATTCGAGGGATTAGGGAAAGTCATAACTAACCAAGTAAGAAGGTTCGATAGGTTAACCAAGTAGGAAGGTTAATTAACCTATGTTTTTAAACCCAAAGGTTCCGAGTTCGTAGCTCACTCCGCGTCCCAATCTTTTTTTTTAAATTAAATTTATTTATTTATTTTTTTTTTTATGGTTTTCGCTATTTTCCAAATTCAACCAATTAAATAGCGTGGCGCTCGTTAGAATGTTATTAATAATTAATTCACCCTTGTTTATTTTTTTGCGAACCCTGCCGTCTCCACAGAGCATCCGGCAACTTTGTTGCGGAAACGATTTTTCCAATTTAAAGACCGTAACAACTTCACTGGTTGGTTTTCAGGAAAACTAATCCAATTAATTTGTGTTTTTTTTTTTTTTAATAGACATATTTAAAGATGTCAAATTTGTTTAAAATCGGTAGGAAAGTCGTGTGAGTGAACAAACCAGATTTTAAAAAAATATAATTGTTAACATCGTATAGTTTTTCTTTACTCCAAAACTATTCCATTCCATCTGGAAATGGAGTACATCACTTACTTTCTTGACAATGCCTTTAATGTATGTTTAAGTTAATTTTATTAAACAGGTTGGACTTTACTATATCTATGTCAATATAGCCTCTAATCGTACCAATCATGTTTAACAAATAGCAATAAGCTAATAGGTAACTGCAAAGCCTTGCACAAGGCCAAGACCATGACTGAGTGCGCAAGACCAACACCAAGATAGGTATGCAGACGCAATACCAACACAGTCTCATCTTTGTCTTGCATTTGCCTCCAATAGCACTGAGTAACCTTGCTGCGGCCTCTAGTAATAAGAAGGTTCCACATAGACTTCGGCAGAATTTATTTGAAAAATATTCCAGGAATAAATCCTTAAATAAACCTCGATAGTTATTTCCGAAATAATTTATTTCATGAAATAACCTGACCATTATTTCCGAAATGATTATTTCGGGAATAAATTATTTCAGGAATAATGATATAATTATTTCTGAAATGATTATTCAGGAATAATGTTGTGAAATAATCATTCTGATCGACTTTTCAGACATAATCGATATCAGGGTCGACTATTATGTTTCCGGGGTAGCTTCATATAAAAATACGGTCGAATTTGAGTTTGCGCCCCCTTCCTCCCCCCCTTCCAACCCTCCAGCATCGACTTTTTGTAACATTTCGGATTTGATCGATATCAGGGTCGACTATTATGTTTTCGGGGGCGCTTATTATGAAAATACGGTCGAATTTGAGATTGCGCCCCTCCCTCCCCCCCCCAATCGACTTTTAGCAACCTTTCGGATTTAATCGATATCAGGGTCGACTATTATGTTTTCCTGGTAGCTTATTATGAAAACACAGTCGAATTTGAAATTGCGCCCTCCCCCCCTCAATCAACTATTAGTAATTTTTAAAGTTTAATCGATTTTAGGGTCGACTGTTATGTTTTCGGGGACGCTTTTTATGAAAATACTGTCGAATTTGATATTGCGCCACCCCTTCCCCACTCCGCATCGACTTTTTGTAACTTTTGAGATATAATCGATATCAGGGTCGACTATTATGTTCCCGGAGTAGCTTAATATTAAAGTACGGTCGAATTTGAAAAAGATAAAAAATGACTCCAAAAACATAGAAGGCCACCCTGATAGCGATTAAATCGGAAAGGTTACTAAAAGTCAATTGGAGCGTGGGGCGCAATTTCAAATTCGACCGTATTTTCATAATAAGCTACCCCAAAAACATTATAATCGACCCTAATATCGATTAAATCCGAAAATTTACAATAAGTAGATGCTGGAGGGTGGAGGGGGGCGCAATCTCAAATTCGACACCATTTTCATAAAAAGATACTCCGAAAACATGGTGCATATTGGTAAATTTTTTATGTTATTTCTGAAATATTCATTTATAGATGTTTGCAATAATTTATTTATGATATAAATAATTCTTAAATAATAATTCTTAAATAATTTATTCAGGAAATAACTCATTTGGAAATAATTTACTTTATTCCAAAGAATGTTAAAATATTTAAATAATTATTTCAGAAATAAATTCAGCAGTTATTCTATCGAGATTATTTCAGTGACAGTTTGAAATATTATTTCAGAAATAACCTATATTACCGAAATTATTCATTCGTGGAATAACGATGTGAGTTATTTCAGAAATAAATTATTTCAAGAGTGCCCAGGTCTAGTTCCACACATATAGTAAATAATGTAGATATATTGTAGATACAGATACATATTTGTTTTTCAAGAAACTTCTAATGTCGTATTGATGAGGGAGGTAATTGAATATGCAGTATAAAATAGGTGGAATATATTTTTATAATAAGCTTTCGTTACCTATCATTAACATACATGAGATGACATATTTTAGTAAAATGCTCCTCATATCTCTAAAATAATAATACTCACAGACAAGGGGGAGCAAGAAGTAGCCGAGTTGCATTTTGAGCAAGGAATGGCGACACTGCAAGCGAAACTCCATTTATAGTTGAGCCGCCATTAGAAATGAGGCTTCTTGACCTTGGCGCCTATAACGAAGTTCGTCCTCTCCTTCGATTTCTGGTTTGCAGTGGACAGATGAGGAATATATCTTTGTCATTGTAGGGCTTCTGGATTGTGTGGAACATCTTCTGCGCATCATCGATAAAATATTTGGAATAGGAATTGGAGGAACTAAGAAGAAATGGAACGAACAGTCTCATTCTAAGCAATAGGCGAAATAGTCCCGTAACCTTGTCATGAAAACGGAAGTCTAAGTATCGAATGTGGGTAAAAGGTTTTTTTGTGATCCTCTCTTCCCCTAGATCATTTTTGAAAATCCCTAAAACTGCTATATGTTTGCACTCTTTTTTTTTTTTTGCCATTTTGGCCATGAAGGAGCATGTTTTCGACAAAAAATCCTTTATTCATTTTTTAACTAGATTAATTATGCTACATTTTTTTTATCTTAGAATGAATTAGAAAAGAGCCGATTCAAAACCAACTTCTATCCCATGCAAGAGTGAGGACGGCGAAGAAAGAAATTTTTGAAGCTCTACTAAAGGACTTAACAGAGAAAGAAGATGAACCCACTCCGGATTTCGAAGTAGCAA